ACTGAGAACCTGCGGCTTTGGATGCAGGGCCGTGTGACCCTGGAGCTTCTGCCCTTTACCATGCAGTAGAGTTCCCTGGCCAGAGTCATCCAGGCAGAGTGCTGGTCCTGACGGTGCCCTCCAGTCTCCCATCCTAGGGGGGCCTGGGCTCAGGAGAGAGCCCAGAAAGGGCTCTGTGGGCCAGACACTACAGTTTGGAGCTTGGTGTGGGTCAGGCCCAGGGACTGTGCTCTGGGGCCATTTGGGGAGCAGTGGGTTGCTGTGGACGCCCTGGGGCTGGCGCATGTGTTACTGTAAGAAATAGACTTGCCAAGTCACAGAGTTCTCATGGCAGAGCCTACCTACACGGGGAGCCTCCCACCCCCAACAAGGACCTTGATGTGGTTTAAGGCCCTGCTTGTGTCAGGCCTCCCCCTCCTTAGGAGCTCCACACCTCCTTATCCCATGCCTGCTCTCCTCCCCTTCCTGCCCCTTGTATCTGCTTGCCCTTCAGGGCCCCTACCTGGGGAGGATGGTCCTCCTAGCCTCCCAGGTGACACTCTGCCTTTGTGGCCAGTGTTCGCCTCATGTCCATCACCCTGGCTGGCATGAAGTCACTGCCCATCTGGTTGGCCTCTGCACCCCCAACATTTTGGAGGGTGCCTGGCGTAGAGCAGGAGCCGTCGGTGCTTGGGATGTGTGAGTGAGTGCTTCCTGCACTGAGAGCCTAGAGTGGGCTGGCCTTCCCTAAACACCACTGATGTTTTAAGAGAGACTGGCAAGCAAATGGCTTCCTAAAAATGTTAGTGTGAAGTTCAGTAAGGGAATTCTGCTTCAGAGAGAATAATGCAGAGGCCTGGAGTAGGGGGGATTACAGGAAGGATGCAGGAAAGATCAGTATGTTTAGGTCAAACATGTACTTTCTCACGCTGATAAAATAACATTCACTCAAGGGAGCATCTCATGGGCAGTGCAAAGCTGAGGAAGCAGGGTTGTCTTTTCTCAGCCCCTTCTTGCTCCTCAGGAAGAGTTATTTACATTCTCGGAAAGATGCAGACACGTTAGTGTCAATGTCAGAGCATCTCTGGGTGAGGGCAGCGGACAGGACGCGTGAACCAACGGCACCACTTTGTTAGTGTGGTAGGGTGGGAGCGAGGGGCAGACCCGTTTTCTGTCCTCACATAAACGCTGTGACAGCCCACAGTGGAGGGTGTCCTGTAACGGAGCCGTGAGACTCGTCTAGAGGCCAGTGGCCGTGGGCTTCCCGAGTGTGAGGACTTCCACCGGGGTGCTGAAGTTTGCAAAGAATAACCAACTCAAGTTCTCGTGCTAATCATTTCTCACTCTCCATTTCCTGAATGTCGACTACTTATTGACAAAATAGGTACTTAGGAAGTAAGCATTGAAAGTTTTCCTAGAAAATTTAAAATATTTTGTTCCAAAATTTGTATTGCACTCAAACTTTCGAGAACACTTCTCTTAGACACACAAGATGACCTGCATTTCTCACCTACAATGTGCTTCTCTGTACATTGTATTGGTGGGCACATATGTTAAATGGCAAGGGAACTTACTTTAAATGTACTTTCTTTTTTGACTTGATTTGGAAGTCCACTTTATAGAAAATTTCCTCAGGGCTCTATTGTGTGTGTCTCCTCTTTAAAGACTTGTGTTCTTTGGGTAATGGACATTTCTTAATGTGCTTTGAAAGGGACAGTCTTTCTTCCCAGCTGACCCAAGCAGCATCTCATCTTTATTTCTGGAATTATAAGGCAGATCTACACTGAGGTTAAATTCAGACCTCCGGAGTGCTTCCGCGGTGGAAGCCTGGAACAGAGAACCAAAGGTGTGCAGCCCAAAGCCTCCAGTTACTGAAATAGTGGGACTTTGGACCCAGATTTCCGAGATTAAGAAACTGGTTTGTTTATGTTTGTGCTGATAGGTCTTTCTGCCAGTACCAGCGGGTTCAGTCTGCGTTCCAAGAATAAGTCAGGTGTTTGTGTTTGCATAAAAAATCTAATCCTGAAAATGACAGAAGCACATTTTGCATTCTCAGTTTTCAAGGCTAAACTGGTTTAGAGGGAAAACACTGGATTCTTCTGTTGACTGTTTGCCCCCAAGTGTATATAAAATTGGCACACTGAATTATGTCCAGTCGTGTTATCAGACTTTCAGTTTCAAATTTTTAACTCTTTTGGGCTAAATTTGGATAAAAATTCCACATCACAAAATTGTGTAAAGTTTTAAAAATTGAGGTTATATCATAATCATAAACAGTGATTATGCCCTATCAGCCATTAGAATGATTTCCGGGGGCAGTGAAGTGTTAACTTTTTTTCTTGATACAATTTAAATGTGCAGGTAGATGCCAATTCCTTCCTCTGGTCCTCACCAGACTAACTCCAGCTTCCACAGAGTGCCAGCATTCCCTGCTGGCTAATGCTGGAATGGCAGTCTCGTAACCAAGAGGTGTTTTGAGTTTTTTGTTCCACAGTGCAATTTCACAACCACTTTCCCGCCTGCGGGGTCTCAGAGAATAAAATTGAGTCAAACCAGATCCTTGCAGCATTTTCATTCCATCAACAACGTTTAGAATATAAAACCTGAAAGTTTTAGATTACCCTAAATTAATTGTATTTAAGTATATTTTTAAAATTAAGGTTTATAATTATTATGTACTGTAAACAATTGGTATTTGAAAAAACAATCCTAGCTCTGAGGTCACAAAGGGAAAACACAGCAGACAGGCTGGAAAACCACTGGAATGCATATAACTAGTCTGGGGTAGGAGTGCTTCTCAACCGCATCATTCTTGCTCTCTGTTCCTGAATTGCACACTGTCCAAAATGTGGGTTCTGTGCACAATTTCGCCTTTCAGTGCTGTTTCATTTTGAGAGTTTATATAATTTTGGGTGTTGCCAGCAGGTGTTTGAGGTTCCCACTAGTTGTGAAATTGAAAAGCTCTAAGGGAGGAACCCCAGTGAATGTGAAATAGAAATTTTTAAATGAAGACGTATCTCATTTCTGTACTTGTAGTTTGGGGCTTGTCTTTTTTAAATGTTTTCCTAACATATTTAATGTGGCCATCATTTGGTGGGAAACACCTGTAAAACAAGTGAAGGCAGGTGGTGTCCTGGGCCCGGGAGAGAGGGGAAATGTGAAGGTTGGCACGTTAGGAGGGCAAGGCTATTGGAAGCCTCTTGGCGAGTGGGGAGTCCTTCATGCCCTCCTTGGGGTGCTAGGGGCTCTGCTGAGTGAGGCCACCTGCCTGGCTCTGGTGGTGACCACTGAAGCTTCAGCCGGCCTGGTTCCGCGGCCCTTATGTGGGTCTCAGCCTGCCCAGCTGAATCCATCACTTCCTGACTCTCTGCCTTTAAGGCCCCTCCTGGGGAAGAGGTGGGCACTTGTGGTCATTCGCAGGGATGGGTTTCCTCAGACAAAGGACAGCACTTTATAGCCGGATCACTGGAGCAGATATCACCTGGGAAGCTGTGATGGGAAAGGGAATCATGATAAAGTGCCCCCCACTGAAAGCTTAAAAAATAAGCATCAGTCACTTCTGTTCTTGCAGGAAGGATTCCAGCATCTTCCTCCAGATCAGTGTCCAACCCTGGTTTTGTTTTGAGGCACGTTTACATTTCCAAAGAGCACCATTTGGCTTCCGTTCAGAAACTAAGACAGGTGGAAGGAACCAGTCTGTATTCTGCATACTTCCCCAAATGAAGTCTGCTAAGCAGAGTGGCCCTGTTACTGCCACTTGCCCTTAGGCAACCCTCCTGTAGGCCTTGGACTGAGAGCCAGCTGGCAGGTGGGTTCTGGCTGGTGTCCAGCTAAGTGTGTGCAGAGAAACGTGAACTAGGGTTACTACCAGTGGGCAACATGGAGCATGCACACGCGTGCACGTGCACACACACGTAGGCAACACATTCTTCCGTGCTCTTATGCACATTCAGTCAACAAACAGCCAACACACTGAATCCCGCCTGTGCTGATTGCTGATAACAGTGAGATGAACCAAGGGGCTTCCTAACCTCTGATTAGAAAGGGCAACTTGGGGAGACCCAGGGGAAGGAGCAGTCACACTGCAATGGGAGCCCAGAAACAGAGCATGTCAATTCCCTGGTGTGCAGACGGCTCACCGAGCAGATGGCGTGGGCCCACCCCTTACAGGCTGGGTGGGGTGTTCCCAAAGTGAGCCAGGGAACATGGAGGTGGGGGAAGGTCAGCAGAGCCGGTATGCGCACCCAGACGCAGTGCCGCGGGAGGGGGGTGTTCTGGGGTAGCGTGCACCTCTTCCCCGGTTGGCTGGAAGGTGTGGGGGAGTCCTAGGGCCCAGAGCTGGTAGGGTGGGCTGGGTCACATCAGGAAGGGTCTGTGTGTGCTTTGACCTGAAATGCTGACACCATTTCCAGAGCCTAACAAGGTGCTTCTGGCCTTTCTCTACTTCATTCTGGAAAATGGGTCACTCAGAAGACAGGGTTGCTGGATAAAATACAGGACACCAAGTTTAAATTTCAGATAAACAGCAAATATATTTTTAGTATAAGCCTATCCACACTGTTGCTTTATTCATTGTTTATCTGAAATTCAAATTTAACTAAGCATCCTATGATTTATTTGCTAAATCTGGCCACCCTAAGGGAAGATCAGTATAGAGCAGAATGTATTTATCTGACTAAATCTTACCCTTGGAGGTTATAAACCCAACCATGGGCTGGACATTAATTAAATCTAACATATAACCAGAAACATGTCATTAAAGCCAAGATACAAGAATTATAAATATATTAATTTAGGGTTAAATTGTACCTATATTCCATAAAATAAGTATAAATATCCTGTATGCATTAACCATACAAGAAGCTAATCTTACAAATGTGCCCATAGAATATAAAAACACAACTACTGTGTCATAAACTTGATTGATTTAAAACTAGTACTCTAACTGTGATAAAAGTTGAAATATAATAATAGTTTTGTTTGTCCTAGAATAAAGAAATACTTTGTGGGGATGAATTATATAATTGTCCTCCTCTGAACACAACTTTCCAGGGTATTTTGCATTGGCCTTGTTTCTCTCTGCTGGCTTCCCTGTTGCAAGCAGATCAAAGTATTCTGGTGCAAAGAGCCGCAGGAATATGTGTGTGTGCATGTGCATATTTGAAATTTTAAGCAAAGAATTCAGGGCCTGGGGTTAGAGGCATCCTGAGAATCTGGCCCTCTGATATTTTCTTCCTTCTCCCAGCTTTCCCCAGTGTGCAGTGGTAGGGCTGGGCAACCTGGGGAAAAGGGGAGAAGGTGACTCAGTTCCTTTCTCTGGTGACTGCCGGCGTGTCATGCTGGGGTGTGTGCATGGGCTGTGTGGACAGAGGCCTGGGGTTTCCTGGTGGGCAGGCCACAGCCCACCCTGCAGCCTCTAGGCCCCTGCCCCCTGGAGAGCTGCCAGCTGGCCCCTGGGCCTGTGTGGTAGACAAGCAGGGACACGGGATGCTCACATCCAAGGTGGCCTGTGCTTTGGGAAGTTGGGGGAACAATTCCTGGCCTCGACCAGAAGTTGTTCCCGACTCCAGCCGACATTGGGAAGGGTTCCCCTGCTGTAGCCCAGGTGTTCAGAGCTGCCTTTGCTCTGCGTCTGGGGTGCCCCCAGTTCCCATGGACCATATGTTCTGCACCTCTTAATTTCAAACATGTAGTTTTAGTAAATTAATTTTATTGCTTATGTAGACTCAGTGAGTTGCCTGTGAAAAACAACCCTTGCAAAACAAAGTGAAACCAGACTTGTGAAAAACTTAGATTCAGCAACTGGTAATAGTTCTGGGCTTCCAGCCTCTGGTTTGGTCACAGCTCACAGGGCAGTAGCCCAGGTCCTCAGAAGTACAGGGAAGAGACCAGTGTCCCTGGGAATCTAATCCCCCATTCTTAGGAAGATCATGTATAGAGACTGTAAGGAGAACATTTCTGTTTTGCACCACCCATTGGGGAGACAGAAACTCACCCCGAATCTCCATGCTGTGAGCTGTCATATTTTAAAACAAAATGCTGCCCTTTGCCACTCACGATTATGTGACAGGGAAAGACACCGAGATTCCTGAAAAGTGCTGTGAGTCTTGCCCACTTTGGTTTTCTCTGGGTAAAGATTTCTGAGTTTTTTTCTCCCAAAGTCAGCATTTAAATGACTTGTCTAAATAAGAGCTCCATTTACATGGGCCCTGTGGTCAGGTTAGCTGAGGCCAGTAGAGAGAGGCCTTCCACTGTGACACTGCGGCTGGGTGGGCCCTGGGCAGCCTCCCCTGGCTGCAGCCACGATGCCGGCAGAGGCCGAGCTCTGGCCATATCCAGGGTATTTATGGAGCTGGCCCAGTCTGTCCCTCTCAGAGGGCTGTTTGGTGGCCTGCTGTGGCTCACACCTGCCTGCCCCACTCACCCCTCAGTCCCCTGCCTGCTAGGCTTCTCCTCTTGAATGGACAGCACCCAGCCCAGCACACATGTAAATCCACTGGGCAGTTGAACTGAGAATAAGGTTTAGAGCAGGGCTTCCAGGGTAGGGCTGTTGTTCTGTATTTAATTTAGAAGCACAATTTCCTGGCCTGTTGTCCTGATGTGAGGCATTTCTGTCTCAATTCTAGGACTGGTTGCCATAAAGGACGCCCACGATATAGAAACCAGGCTTAATGAGGTGGAGAAGCTGTTAAAGACCATCATAAGCATGCCGTGTAAAGTAAGTCCGAACTGGTGCAGGCTGGGCTGGTGGGTGCATCTACCCTTGGCATAACTGACCCCTGGCCCACTCAGCCTCTGGCTCCCTCGCGGAGCTGTCAGACCATGGGGAGGGAGGTAGATATAACCAGGCAGGAGAAGAGAAGACTTTTGGGGCTCTAGAGGCTGATTTTTCCTCCCTGGGGAAGAAAGAAGTGAAACTGAGGGCCCAGGAGGCACTGAGGAAGAAGGGACATGGCCCCCCACTGCGGTGGTCTTTGCCTTCTTGCTTGAGCTCAGAACCCATTGGTCTTGCTCGGGGTATTTTAGAAGAGGTCAAAAGAAGGCAAGTGCAGTGCTGGCATCCACATGAGCAGGCGCTCCTTAAGTGAAGTTTGCATGCTTCCCGTGGAGCACTTACCAAGAACCTGAGCTTGAGTCAGGCTGACCTACAGCTCCTGGGAGCTTCTGCATCCTCAGCTGCAAATGGGGAAAGTCCGTGGCTCAGTTTATTGTAAAGTAAAGGTCGATGTGTGTGAAATGCTGGCACTCAAAGAAACTAGCCACTGCTGGTGTTAGCCCTGTCCTGTGTGTCCCGGGCCTTGCTTTTACCTATGAGGTGCCTCAGGTGCATGGAAAGTGGGCAGTGACTGCCACCCCCTCGGAGCCGTGAGTCCTGCAGAACCTGAGCAGCTCAGGCAGTAGCCTCAGACAGGCCGCCTCAAGCGAGGGCTCCTTTTTAGTAATGAATGTATTTTTTTCCCAGTATTCCAGGTCAGAAGTTGTGCTCACCTTCTTCGAAAGATCTCCACTGGATCAGGTGTTAAAAAACGACAATGTACATAAAATTCAACCCAGCTTTCAAAGTCCGGTGAAAATATCAGGTAAGAGCTACAGGGAAGGCTTAGGGGAAGTGCCTCCGCGGATGGTTATGGTTTTCCAGAAACCTCTCCAGTTCACTGTCTGCGTGGCTGGGCACACCTTCTACCCTTGGCATCCAGGAAGATGATCGGAAGGAGGGTGAAAACAGTGGGTGAGATTTTTATGAAACTGTGATTTCTATCTGTTGACTTTGCTTTACACCCTTGCTACTTCCAAAGTGAGTTATTTGGCATAGAAATTGGTATTTACTTCGGAAATAGTATAATGGTGAAAACAGGAGGGAGGCATTTTGAAGTGGGCTACTGGAATCAGCAGTCTAGCTACAAACGTGACTTTAACCGGTTCTTGGCTATAGGGCAGCCAGGATGAGAAGACCACCCAGTTTGGGTGCCATTAGCACTGACACTGGCCTGCAACTTTCTGGCACTAACGAGGCAGATGTTAGCAGTGAATCATCAACTGAGAGATGCTTCTGGCGAACTTACCAGGGTCAGATGCAGAGGAAGGGGACACTTGGACTTTGCCCTGTTTGGTAGCTTTACAAGGTCTGGGTTGCATGTATCATTAGAATACTAGCCTTTTATTTTGGCAGCACTATTTTGGGGAAGGCTGCTGAGGAGCGTTTTGTAGGGGGAGGGCTCTGTCCTGGGAGTCTCAGGTACTGGGCATCCCCCAGGCAGCAGGCAGGCAGCTCGGTGTGGCCTGTGAGGGGCATCTGAGTGACGTCCTGCAGGGGTTTGCTGGGTGGGAAGGGAGGAAGTCAGTTGGAAGAGGAGATGGAGTTCAGCTAAAGGTGAGATCCTATAGGACATCCTGCCCTGTGGGAAGGAGAGGAGGAGAGATTCTGTGTCCCACCTCTATTCCTGAAGGAGGGTGGTGGGACCCGGCAGTGGATGATGGGGGATCTGAGCCCAGAGCTGCTGCTCCTCAGAGGAATTGGGTGCTGGTGATGGGGAGATGGAAGAGGACACGTTGGGGTGGTGACTGATGCCATTGGTGTAAAGGCATCCTTATTTGGTTATGTGCCCCAGAAGGTATGAAATTCCTAACTGTATGTCGGGTGAGGTGGACAGGGTGGGCATGCTCTGGAAACGTGGAATGGATGGGTGTTTTTGATCTGATTGTTAGCAGGATGGCTGTTAAACTACTTTAGATATCTGCTCAAGAGAGCTTCCTATGTGTTGTCAGAAAGAAGAGCAAGGGCACTCAGAAGCCCCTCCCTGCCTAGGCCCTGGCATCCAGAACTTCCTTTATGGGAGGGTGAAAATAGCAGTCATTAACCCTGGCTGGGTGTGTGGGGGCCTGTGGCTCTGCCTGTTCCTGTCAGGCTCGGAGAGGCCGCCACAGCCTAACTTAGTCATTCGTGCTGGGTTTTGCAGCCTGTCCCTGGGAGTGTGGGTGAGCCTCCGCTCTTTAGCCCTGAGCTGGAGTCCCAGCACTGGCGTCTGCATTTTGCTTTCTTTTTGTTTTGAGCAAATGGGAGAGCAAAGAGCAGCAGAATCCTTTCAGGACTGGTGTTGGTGGCTGGACTGTAGCTTCAGGCTGGCCCTGAAGGCCCCAGAATGTGAGAGGGGCAGAGTGGAGCAGCTCTGAGTTGCTTCTGATTGAGTCACTCCTGGAGCACAACAACCTGGAACATTCTATCCTGGGGTCCTATTTTTATCAGTGACGTGGATAAACACATGACCCATGTTTATCCCAAAGGGCTGAAAGCAATGAGATGAAATTTAACAGGGTTGACTGCAGAGTCCCACCTTGNCTGAATGTCGACTACTTATTGACAAAATAGGTACTTAGGAAGTAAGCATTGAAAGTTTTCCTAGAAAATTTAAAATATTTTGTTCCAAAATTTGTATTGCACTCAAACTTTCGAGAACACTTCTCTTAGACACACAAGATGACCTGCATTTCTCACCTACAATGTGCTTCTCTGTACATTGTATTGGTGGGCACATATGTTAAATGGCAAGGGAACTTACTTTAAATGTACTTTCTTTTTTGACTTGATTTGGAAGTCCACTTTATAGAAAATTTCCTCAGGGCTCTATTGTGTGTGTCTCCTCTTTAAAGACTTGTGTTCTTTGGGTAATGGACATTTCTTAATGTGCTTTGAAAGGGACAGTCTTTCTTCCCAGCTGACCCAAGCAGCATCTCATCTTTATTTCTGGAATTATAAGGCAGATCTACACTGAGGTTAAATTCAGACCTCCGGAGTGCTTCCGCGGTGGAAGCCTGGAACAGAGAACCAAAGGTGTGCAGCCCAAAGCCTCCAGTTACTGAAATAGTGGGACTTTGGACCCAGATTTCCGAGATTAAGAAACTGGTTTGTTTATGTTTGTGCTGATAGGTCTTTCTGCCAGTACCAGCGGGTTCAGTCTGCGTTCCAAGAATAAGTCAGGTGTTTGTGTTTGCATAAAAAATCTAATCCTGAAAATGACAGAAGCACATTTTGCATTCTCAGTTTTCAAGGCTAAACTGGTTTAGAGGGAAAACACTGGATTCTTCTGTTGACTGTTTGCCCCCAAGTGTATATAAAATTGGCACACTGAATTATGTCCAGTCGTGTTATCAGACTTTCAGTTTCAAATTTTTAACTCTTTTGGGCTAAATTTGGATAAAAATTCCACATCACAAAATTGTGTAAAGTTTTAAAAATTGAGGTTATATCATAATCATAAACAGTGATTATGCCCTATCAGCCATTAGAATGATTTCCGGGGGCAGTGAAGTGTTAACTTTTTTTCTTGATACAATTTAAATGTGCAGGTAGATGCCAATTCCTTCCTCTGGTCCTCACCAGACTAACTCCAGCTTCCACAGAGTGCCAGCATTCCCTGCTGGCTAATGCTGGAATGGCAGTCTCGTAACCAAGAGGTGTTTTGAGTTTTTTGTTCCACAGTGCAATTTCACAACCACTTTCCCGCCTGCGGGGTCTCAGAGAATAAAATTGAGTCAAACCAGATCCTTGCAGCATTTTCATTCCATCAACAACGTTTAGAATATAAAACCTGAAAGTTTTAGATTACCCTAAATTAATTGTATTTAAGTATATTTTTAAAATTAAGGTTTATAATTATTATGTACTGTAAACAATTGGTATTTGAAAAAACAATCCTAGCTCTGAGGTCACAAAGGGAAAACACAGCAGACAGGCTGGAAAACCACTGGAATGCATATAACTAGTCTGGGGTAGGAGTGCTTCTCAACCGCATCATTCTTGCTCTCTGTTCCTGAATTGCACACTGTCCAAAATGTGGGTTCTGTGCACAATTTCGCCTTTCAGTGCTGTTTCATTTTGAGAGTTTATATAATTTTGGGTGTTGCCAGCAGGTGTTTGAGGTTCCCACTAGTTGTGAAATTGAAAAGCTCTAAGGGAGGAACCCCAGTGAATGTGAAATAGAAATTTTTAAATGAAGACGTATCTCATTTCTGTACTTGTAGTTTGGGGCTTGTCTTTTTTAAATGTTTTCCTAACATATTTAATGTGGCCATCATTTGGTGGGAAACACCTGTAAAACAAGTGAAGGCAGGTGGTGTCCTGGGCCCGGGAGAGAGGGGAAATGTGAAGGTTGGCACGTTAGGAGGGCAAGGCTATTGGAAGCCTCTTGGCGAGTGGGGAGTCCTTCATGCCCTCCTTGGGGTGCTAGGGGCTCTGCTGAGTGAGGCCACCTGCCTGGCTCTGGTGGTGACCACTGAAGCTTCAGCCGGCCTGGTTCCGCGGCCCTTATGTGGGTCTCAGCCTGCCCAGCTGAATCCATCACTTCCTGACTCTCTGCCTTTAAGGCCCCTCCTGGGGAAGAGGTGGGCACTTGTGGTCATTCGCAGGGATGGGTTTCCTCAGACAAAGGACAGCACTTTATAGCCGGATCACTGGAGCAGATATCACCTGGGAAGCTGTGATGGGAAAGGGAATCATGATAAAGTGCCCCCCACTGAAAGCTTAAAAAATAAGCATCAGTCACTTCTGTTCTTGCAGGAAGGATTCCAGCATCTTCCTCCAGATCAGTGTCCAACCCTGGTTTTGTTTTGAGGCACGTTTACATTTCCAAAGAGCACCATTTGGCTTCCGTTCAGAAACTAAGACAGGTGGAAGGAACCAGTCTGTATTCTGCATACTTCCCCAAATGAAGTCTGCTAAGCAGAGTGGCCCTGTTACTGCCACTTGCCCTTAGGCAACCCTCCTGTAGGCCTTGGACTGAGAGCCAGCTGGCAGGTGGGTTCTGGCTGGTGTCCAGCTAAGTGTGTGCAGAGAAACGTGAACTAGGGTTACTACCAGTGGGCAACATGGAGCATGCACACGCGTGCACGTGCACACACACGTAGGCAACACATTCTTCCGTGCTCTTATGCACATTCAGTCAACAAACAGCCAACACACTGAATCCCGCCTGTGCTGATTGCTGATAACAGTGAGATGAACCAAGGGGCTTCCTAACCTCTGATTAGAAAGGGCAACTTGGGGAGACCCAGGGGAAGGAGCAGTCACACTGCAATGGGAGCCCAGAAACAGAGCATGTCAATTCCCTGGTGTGCAGACGGCTCACCGAGCAGATGGCGTGGGCCCACCCCTTACAGGCTGGGTGGGGTGTTCCCAAAGTGAGCCAGGGAACATGGAGGTGGGGGAAGGTCAGCAGAGCCGGTATGCGCACCCAGACGCAGTGCCGCGGGAGGGGGGTGTTCTGGGGTAGCGTGCACCTCTTCCCCGGTTGGCTGGAAGGTGTGGGGGAGTCCTAGGGCCCAGAGCTGGTAGGGTGGGCTGGGTCACATCAGGAAGGGTCTGTGTGTGCTTTGACCTGAAATGCTGACACCATTTCCAGAGCCTAACAAGGTGCTTCTGGCCTTTCTCTACTTCATTCTGGAAAATGGGTCACTCAGAAGACAGGGTTGCTGGATAAAATACAGGACACCAAGTTTAAATTTCAGATAAACAGCAAATATATTTTTAGTATAAGCCTATCCACACTGTTGCTTTATTCATTGTTTATCTGAAATTCAAATTTAACTAAGCATCCTATGATTTATTTGCTAAATCTGGCCACCCTAAGGGAAGATCAGTATAGAGCAGAATGTATTTATCTGACTAAATCTTACCCTTGGAGGTTATAAACCCAACCATGGGCTGGACATTAATTAAATCTAACATATAACCAGAAACATGTCATTAAAGCCAAGATACAAGAATTATAAATATATTAATTTAGGGTTAAATTGTACCTATATTCCATAAAATAAGTATAAATATCCTGTATGCATTAACCATACAAGAAGCTAATCTTACAAATGTGCCCATAGAATATAAAAACACAACTACTGTGTCATAAACTTGATTGATTTAAAACTAGTACTCTAACTGTGATAAAAGTTGAAATATAATAATAGTTTTGTTTGTCCTAGAATAAAGAAATACTTTGTGGGGATGAATTATATAATTGTCCTCCTCTGAACACAACTTTCCAGGGTATTTTGCATTGGCCTTGTTTCTCTCTGCTGGCTTCCCTGTTGCAAGCAGATCAAAGTATTCTGGTGCAAAGAGCCGCAGGAATATGTGTGTGTGCATGTGCATATTTGAAATTTTAAGCAAAGAATTCAGGGCCTGGGGTTAGAGGCATCCTGAGAATCTGGCCCTCTGATATTTTCTTCCTTCTCCCAGCTTTCCCCAGTGTGCAGTGGTAGGGCTGGGCAACCTGGGGAAAAGGGGAGAAGGTGACTCAGTTCCTTTCTCTGGTGACTGCCGGCGTGTCATGCTGGGGTGTGTGCATGGGCTGTGTGGACAGAGGCCTGGGGTTTCCTGGTGGGCAGGCCACAGCCCACCCTGCAGCCTCTAGGCCCCTGCCCCCTGGAGAGCTGCCAGCTGGCCCCTGGGCCTGTGTGGTAGACAAGCAGGGACACGGGATGCTCACATCCAAGGTGGCCTGTGCTTTGGGAAGTTGGGGGAACAATTCCTGGCCTCGACCAGAAGTTGTTCCCGACTCCAGCCGACATTGGGAAGGGTTCCCCTGCTGTAGCCCAGGTGTTCAGAGCTGCCTTTGCTCTGCGTCTGGGGTGCCCCCAGTTCCCATGGACCATATGTTCTGCACCTCTTAATTTCAAACATGTAGTTTTAGTAAATTAATTTTATTGCTTATGTAGACTCAGTGAGTTGCCTGTGAAAAACAACCCTTGCAAAACAAAGTGAAACCAGACTTGTGAAAAACTTAGATTCAGCAACTGGTAATAGTTCTGGGCTTCCAGCCTCTGGTTTGGTCACAGCTCACAGGGCAGTAGCCCAGGTCCTCAGAAGTACAGGGAAGAGACCAGTGTCCCTGGGAATCTAATCCCCCATTCTTAGGAAGATCATGTATAGAGACTGTAAGGAGAACATTTCTGTTTTGCACCACCCATTGGGGAGACAGAAACTCACCCCGAATCTCCATGCTGTGAGCTGTCATATTTTAAAACAAAATGCTGCCCTTTGCCACTCACGATTATGTGACAGGGAAAGACACCGAGATTCCTGAAAAGTGCTGTGAGTCTTGCCCACTTTGGTTTTCTCTGGGTAAAGATTTCTGAGTTTTTTTCTCCCAAAGTCAGCATTTAAATGACTTGTCTAAATAAGAGCTCCATTTACATGGGCCCTGTGGTCAGGTTAGCTGAGGCCAGTAGAGAGAGGCCTTCCACTGTGACACTGCGGCTGGGTGGGCCCTGGGCAGCCTCCCCTGGCTGCAGCCACGATGCCGGCAGAGGCCGAGCTCTGGCCATATCCAGGGTATTTATGGAGCTGGCCCAGTCTGTCCCTCTCAGAGGGCTGTTTGGTGGCCTGCTGTGGCTCACACCTGCCTGCCCCACTCACCCCTCAGTCCCCTGCCTGCTAGGCTTCTCCTCTTGAATGGACAGCACCCAGCCCAGCACACATGTAAATCCACTGGGCAGTTGAACTGAGAATAAGGTTTAGAGCAGGGCTTCCAGGGTAGGGCTGTTGTTCTGTATTTAATTTAGAAGCACAATTTCCTGGCCTGTTGTCCTGATGTGAGGCATTTCTGTCTCAATTCTAGGACTGGTTGCCATAAAGGACGCCCACGATATAGAAACCAGGCTTAATGAGGTGGAGAAGCTGTTAAAGACCATCATAAGCATGCCGTGTAAAGTAAGTCCGAACTGGTGCAGGCTGGGCTGGTGGGTGCATCTACCCTTGGCATAACTGACCCCTGGCCCACTCAGCCTCTGGCTCCCTCGCGGAGCTGTCAGACCATGGGGAGGGAGGTAGATATAACCAGGCAGGAGAAGAGAAGACTTTTGGGGCTCTAGAGGCTGATTTTTCCTCCCTGGGGAAGAAAGAAGTGAAACTGAGGGCCCAGGAGGCACTGAGGAAGAAGGGACATGGCCCCCCACTGCGGTGGTCTTTGCCTTCTTGCTTGAGCTCAGAACCCATTGGTCTTGCTCGGGGTATTTTAGAAGAGGTCAAAAGAAGGCAAGTGCAGTGCTGGCATCCACATGAGCAGGCGCTCCTTAAGTGAAGTTTGCATGCTTCCCGTGGAGCACTTACCAAGAACCTGAGCTTGAGTCAGGCTGACCTACAGCTCCTGGGAGCTTCTGCATCCTCAGCTGCAAATGGGGAAAGTCCGTGGCTCAGTTTATTGTAAAGTAAAGGTCGATGTGTGTGAAATGCTGGCACTCAAAGAAACTAGCCACTGCTGGTGTTAGCCCTGTCCTGTGTGTCCCGGGCCTTGCTTTTACCTATGAGGTGCCTCAGGTGCATGGAAAGTGGGCAGTGACTGCCACCCCCTCGGAGCCGTGAGTCCTGCAGAACCTGAGCAGCTCAGGCAGTAGCCTCAGACAGGCCGCCTCAAGCGAGGGCTCCTTTTTAGTAATGAATGTATTTTTTTCCCAGTATTCCAGGTCAGAAGTTGTGCTCACCTTCTTCGAAAGATCTCCACTGGATCAGGTGTTAAAAAACGACAATGTACATAAAATTCAACCCAGCTTTCAAAGTCCGGTGAAAATATCAGGTAAGAGCTACAGGGAAGGCTTAGGGGAAGTGCCTCCGCGGATGGTTATGGTTTTCCAGAAACCTCTCCAGTTCACTGTCTGCGTGGCTGGGCACACCTTCTACCCTTGGCATCCAGGAAGATGATCGGAAGGAGGGTGAAAACAGTGGGTGAGATTTTTATGAAACTGTGATTTCTATCTGTTGACTTTGCTTTACACCCTTGCTACTTCCAAAGTGAGTTATTTGGCATAGAAATTGGTATTTACTTCGGAAATAGTATAATGGTGAAAACAGGAGGGAGGCATTTTGAAGTGGGCTACTGGAATCAGCAGTCTAGCTACAAACGTGACTTTAACCGGTTCTTGGCTATAGGGCAGCCAGGATGAGAAGACCACCCAGTTTGGGTGCCATTAGCACTGACACTGGCCTGCAACTTTCTGGCACTAACGAGGCAGATGTTAGCAGTGAATCATCAACTGAGAGATGCTTCTGGCGAACTTACCAGGGTCAGATGCAGAGGAAGGGGACACTTGGACTTTGCCCTGTTTGGTAGCTTTACAAGGTCTGGGTTGCATGTATCATTAGAATACTAGCCTTTTATTTTGGCAGCACTATTTTGGGGAAGGCTGCTGAGGAGCGTTTTGTAGGGGGAGGGCTCTGTCCTGGGAGTCTCAGGTACTGGGCATCCCCCAGGCAGCAGGCAGGCAGCTCGGTGTGGCCTGTGAGGGGCATCTGAGTGACGTCCTGCAGGGGTTTGCTGGGTGGGAAGGGAGGAAGTCAGTTGGAAGAGGAGATGGAGTTCAGCTAAAGGTGAGATCCTATAGGACATCCTGCCCTGTGGGAAGGAGAGGAGGAGAGATTCTGTGTCCCACCTCTATTCCTGAAGGAGGGTGGTGGGACCCGGCAGTGGATGATGGGGGATCTGAGCCCAGAGCTGCTGCTCCTCAGAGGAATTGGGTGCTGGTGATGGGGAGATGGAAGAGGACACGTTGGGGTGGTGACTGATGCCATTGGTGTAAAGGCATCCTTATTTGGTTATGTGCCCCAGAAGGTATGAAATTCCTAACTGTATGTCGGGTGAGGTGGACAGGGTGGGCATGCTCTGGAAACGTGGAATGGATGGGTGTTTTTGATCTGATTGTTAGCAGGATGGCTGTTAAACTACTTTAGATATCTGCTCAAGAGAGCTTCCTATGTGTTGTCAGAAAGAAGAGCAAGGGCACTCAGAAGCCCCTCCCTGCCTAGGCCCTGGCATCCAGAACTTCCTTTATGGGAGGGTGAAAATAGCAGTCATTAACCCTGGCTGGGTGTGTGGGGGCCTGTGGCTCTGCCTGTTCCTGTCAGGCTCGGAGAGGCCGCCACAGCCTAACTTAGTCATTCGTGCTGGGTTTTGCAGCCTGTCCCTGGGAGTGTGGGTGAGCCTCCGCTCTTTAGCCCTGAGCTGGAGTCCCAGCACTGGCGTCTGCATTTTGCTTTCTTTTTGTTTTGAGCAAATGGGAGAGCAAAGAGCAGCAGAATCCTTTCAGGACTGGTGTTGGTGGCTGGACTGTAGCTTCAGGCTGGCCCTGAAGGCCCCAGAATGTGAGAGGGGCAGAGTGGAGCAGCTCTGAGTTGCTTCTGATTGAGTCACTCCTGGAGCACAACAACCTGGAACATTCTATCCTGGGGTCCTATTTTTATCAGTGACGTGGATAAACACATGACCCATGTTTATCCCAAAGGGCTGAAAGCAATGAGATGAAATTTAACAGGGTTGACTGCAGAGTCCCACCTTGGGGTTTTAAATATGTTCTCTGCATCTTTATTCACGGACTGAGGACAGAGCTTGCCACAGATGTGAGCCTCAGCGAGGCCTTGCATGCATGATGGGTGCCCAGCATCTAGTCTAGGCAGGCAGGGGTCTTGACCTTCTTGTGCAAGCCAGGAGCCCAGGTCATCTGGGTTATCATGCTGGGCAGGGGACATTGCTGTGGGTGGAAGTAACTGCCCCAGACTCTGGCTTAGCACAGAATACTTTGTAACAACTGGGGGCTGCCTAACAATGCAGTTTGTAAACATCTATTGCAAGTCTGTCCATGTTGGTGCAAAGGCCAGGGGGCTTGTCAAAGACATCCGTGTGCAAGGCGGCAGGCACCCTCCCAGAGTTGTTGAGATTCTCCCTCCTGGGGGTTTCTGCCCCTTCTTCTGCCCTAAGGACCCAGTGCCAAGTCTGGGGTACTTCCCTGGAAGCTTCCCGACCTCACAGGTCAGCTGGTCCTCACTCTGTGTAAGTGAATGCTTCCCAATATAAACCAGCTTGTGGGTGTGCAAGCAGTGAGGGGTGTGCCCACAGGATGTAAGATGCACTTGCTTTATTTGCTGAGTGAGGAAATAAATATAGCAAGACAAGGAAATATGGTAAATTCAAAAATACTTAATGAAAACTGTTGTTGACATAAGCACCAACAGCCCTTGGAGAACTAGTCCATACATGGGCGAGCTGTGTTGTTCCACGTTTGGGGTGTTGAAGGATCCCAGAGTGCCCAGGCTCTGAGCAGCAGAGGCTCAGGCAGGCAGCTTGGTGAGGCCTGCGAGGGGCATCTGAGTGACGTCCTGCAGGGCTGAGATCCTTCAGCTGGCCAGAGGCGGCTCTCAGCTGCCTGACGTCCATCCACATGCCTCTCCCCATCAGCCTTCCCTCCCCTGGACACGTGCTTCCTGAAAACTGCTGTCCATCACCCCTGAATTCTGACTTCCTAGGTGTATTAATTTTGTCAAACCTTAATTCGTGATAAAGCCCAGGTGCCCTTGTGAGTATGGGTATGTCCGAGTCTGGCTCACTCTAGCTTTTTGATTTTGTCGCCTGGAACTGGGCTGCAGACCCTCAGACTCCTCCTGGCTCGCTTTGCCTGTGCTGTGGCCTCCAGAGTTCTCTCTGTCCACACTGACCCTGCCTGTCTGTCCACTCCTGTCCTGCTGAATTCCACTCGTTGGTGACGACGTCCCCACTGCCACTCACTCCTCCTCTCCCCTCAGGTTTCCCAATACCTCCTGATGCCGCTGACGTGGCCCTCAGGGAGGTGGTGCTGGGGGACAGTGCGGACCTTGGCTTTGGAGGCCCTTCTGCACACTCACGGCTGCGGAGGGCACCACCGCTTCTTTCCAGGGTGGAGACCGTGTGTTCAGCAGCCCCACTAGATGGCGCCAGGCGCCAGCAGCGTGAGAACTGGGCCTCCTGGGGCTGCCAGGAGGGCGTTCAGGAAATACCCAGACCCGTTTCGTGATTCTGCGGGCCGATGCGACCTTAAGTGTGTATCATCTTTGTTAATCTAAATGCTTATCAAATCTCAGAAAATTTAAATGTAGTTTTCTGCACAGTGGCTGTGTCTGTGTAGCTTGAAAGGAAGCGTAAACCTCCCAAACCTTGCTCTGATCTTCCTAATCAGCCACCAAAGTCTGACTGTACAGATTTGGGGGGCCTGGAAATGACCTATAATTTCATTTTTCATTAGCTATTTGTATACTCTCATCCTTAATTTTCACCATGCAAGGATACTCCAGTTAGCCAGTTAATAAAAAGGTGGGACTGTGGGTTTTGTTCCGTTTGGGAATGCGTTGAAATATAATGGAAAGGAGGATTTGAAAGGGAAGAATGCTACACTTTGAGGGCTTCCAGGGTGAGATGGAACATCTGTTGAAGAAAAGGAATATGTGGATTAATGTACTGAAGGAATGCTGGCATATGGAGCATATGAACACACACTGCAGTTAAAATTAGAAATACCACCACACGGCAGACACCACAGTAATTGTTGCAGAAAAGATGCATTGCTGGATGCTAAGATTCGTGGGCAGAAGTTTGAGGAGAAACAGGGCTTGCAGTGTCACTGCATTTCCCCCAAGATACTTCCTAACTACAAAGAGAAGAGTTTGGAGAAACCTGGCAGAAACCTCCTTACCAGCATGATCCAGACCAACGTCCCTGGAATAAGGCTCGCTGACTGCACACGGCTGATATGGTGCCCCAGGAGCAGGCAGCGCCCCTGTGGGACTCCTGCCCAGTGTGCCCTCAGCTGAAGCACTTGGAAACATCAAACTGAGGAGCAGTCAATGAAATAACTCAGCTGTCCTCTTCAAGTGTCACCATCACAAGAGATAAGGAAGACCAAGAAAGCCCCAGAGGTACAGGAGACTAAGACACACCGACTTTGTGCCATGAGGACTCCTGCATTGCATCCGGGACAGAAAAAAGGGGTGTTAGCAGAGAAGCCGATGGAGCCCAGGTGAGGGAGGTGCTGGGGTAGTGGTACTGTGTCCATGTTAGTCCCCTAGATTTGATCATTATACCATAGTTATGTAAAATGTTAACGCTAGGAGAAGCTGGCCAGGGATGTGTGAGAACTGTATTCTGTTTTTGAAACTTTTCTGTAATTCTAAAGTTAGTTCACAAAAAGCGTAAAAAAAAAATAGAAATGGTAAAGTAAGAAAAAGTGTGAAAAAAATGTGGATGCAGAGAAGTTGCTTGAAAATAAACTATTTCATGGAATTACTCATGTATGTGATTCAAGAAGTGAAACTGGCCAGTGAGTTTTATTATAGGTTCTAAACTGACTTCTAAACACTTCACATCTTAAGGAGGTTTGAAGATAGGCTTGAAATGCTGTAATTTTTCTGTAATCATAACATTTCCTTAGGGTCTTCATATCTGTATGATGCAACAGCTATAAAGACATTAGTAACTACCGTTTATCACACCCCCAACCAAGCCTTTGTTAGCTTCATTACAGATACCTCCGCTCAATGTACACCTGTGCTCTCTGGGCTGGGCACTGTTATTCCCACTCTACAGATGAAGAAACTGAGTGAGAATAACCTGCTCCCAGGAGTTTCCTCGCGTGATTAGATCACATTACTGTGCAGAGGCTTCTTTGCCCGAGCCATTAAAGGAGAAGGATTTGTTTCAGTCTGTTTGGGAGGCTGGTAAAGATTCACATTTTCTAGAGCTTCAAATTTTGCATTTAAAAAAGATTAGAAAGTTTTTATGCAAGGTAACTTAATGTTTTGCAGTACTGACATTTATTTTTCACTTCATAGGATTCCTTCTGCAAATTCTCTTGGCAGAAGTTGGGGGAAAGGGGCTGGAGGTTGTCAGCTGGGTGTTCTGAGGTCGTTCTGAGGTTTCATGTGTCCGTGTGACAGATTTGAGTCAGAGTTAATAAAAGCAATAAAGAAGTGGTTCTATGCCACCATATACTTTAAATTGAGAGGTGAGGGAATCTTAATCTTTCTTTTTAAGATTCAGTCATCTTCAGAGTCTCTGTTCATTCAGAGACTTTGGTAAACATCATCTTGTTGCCCTTCATAAACCTGGAAATGCACTTGACCCCGAGGCCCCAGCACCGGCCTCTCATTGGTGTTACGTGCTAGATCTCCAAGCTCGCTGGTTTTCATGTAGGAAAGATGGGTGGGCTCTGGCCTGGAGGGGAGGGCAGCACAGGGAAGAGCCATATGCTGATGTCACGTGGGGTCTGACCCGCTGGGCTGGTGTTGCAAAAGGTTGATGAACCCTGAACTGCCACTTCTCCAGAAAGTCAAGTGGATGTTTAGCAATTGCTTAGCAAATCTGACTGACGAATAGTCATTTTAATCCTGTGAGAGTGAGGAGGAAATCTCCTATTTTTCTTTCTTCATTTTTGTGTCATTTCTAATTCTTTTTATATGAAAAGAAATTAAAAGATACTTAGAAGCAAATACCTAGGAAGTTTAAAAATAAAGAGGAAGTTATAATTTCACTTATTTTAAAAAAGCAGATCTAGGCATGGGAATGAAATGATCTAAATTCTGGTAAGCTGTGGGCAAACAAAATGAGAAAACAGTCCCCCAGCCCGCAGTTGCCTCATCTGGTGCCAGTGAGACTGCCGGCCAGGTGTCCTGGGTGCTCTGCTGTGCCAGGAGGAGAGCAAGAGATGTTGGGAGCTGCGTGTTCCCGTGCGTTAGGCCCTAACGGGAAGATGATGATGAGATTTGAGGATGCCTCAGGAATATGGAGTATATTTTAAGCATTTTTTTTAAGATGAGGTAAGTAGGTGGCTTGAGTGGAGAGGATGAATGAGGGCCATGAGCATGGAGCTCCGCAGACTAAGAGCTGAGGTTAGGAACCAAGCCGGCCCCACAGAGAGCTGGAGACCTGCGGCTCGAAGGAGCCCTGGGAATGGCTACCGGGTCTATTCTTGGAGTGCCTGTCATCAACAGAGGGATGTGACCGAAGCACATTGCCTCCAGGAATATAAATAAAAGCTTCCCCAGATATTAGAAGTGAGTCAGTATCACTTGCTACTTACACATAAATGGACCAGATGATACGAAATAATCTGGTAGCTCATGGGACTTAGAGTCGGAAGGATCCTTGGGAATCATCTACTGCAATTCTGAAATTTTCCACTTGGGGATACGGCACCCCAAAGTCATGGTGCTCCCTGCTGGGCTGAGCTGCAGGATCCAGGCTCCCAGCCCTGTGCTTTTGGAGCAGCAACATGCTCAGGTGGCCCCGGTCCCGCCACTTGCAGCACTGGATGGGCACCTGATGCACAACCTTGAAAGCTAACAACATGCAGCCAGCAGAGACATACAAAGATATTTTCTTTGTTGGCCTTTTAATATGACCAAAATTTGTGTGTGTTGGCAAAAAATCAGTTTATATATAGAATTATATAAAGTAAAAAAGTGAAGTTGCCTGTTTGGTGAACAATGTGCTCTGATCTCACTCGATCCTTGTGGCAGCCCAGGGTGGTAGGTGGTGTTACCTATCTCGGGTGCAGGTGAGAGCGTCAGAAGATTGGTCACCTGGGCACAGTGCCCTGGTGGTGTGTGACGGCCCTGACTTGAGCCCAGGCTGCAGACATGGACTTGGTACTCTTTCTGTCTCAGCTTTAAACCTGTGGGGCTGGAGGGGGATGCACAGAGCATCTTTCTGGGGGAGATGCCCCTCTCAGCTTGTGGAGGGTCAGCAGGTGTGGCTCCTGTGGAGGTTGGCATCGGCCCCTGAATCTGAGCCTCTGGGAAGCAGAGTGTTCTCTTAAAGTGAGGGGACAGAGGGGGACATGCAGTAAAGGGAGGAAGTAGGGAGATCTATGTAAGCCCCGAACTTCGAAATCTGGCCCCTCCTGAATATCTATCTTACTGTTTTCATTTTCAGAAATCATGAGGTCCAATGGATTTTGTTTAGCAAATACAGAAACAATAGTTATTGACCACAGTATACCAAACGGAACAGACCAGCACCTGTGTGTGGACTCGCCAGAGCACTTGTAAGTACTGATCTGAATGTAGTTTCATAGAAGGGAACCTGAGCTGTTAGCTGGGCCCAGGGTTCACTGCCCATATAGAGCTCTGGGAGGAAGCAGATGTGGCCGGGAACACGGAGCCATCCTACCTGTATTTGGATACTTATTTAAATAGTTTGCCTTTTCTAGAGGAAAGTGAGATCTTGATTCATAAACCTTGTGTGTGGGACCAAAGTTCCTTTGATCAGGTGGCTGGCTGGGAGGGGACGTAGTGAAGTTGCTGGGCCTCAGGGTCTGGTTTGTGCCGGGCCCTCGGGATACATACGCGGGCAGCAGGACTCCTCACACAGGGCCCAGGCTCATGGGACAGGGAGAGTCACCACCTCCATGCTGGCCTCACATTGCAGAGCCTGAGGCTCTCGTGACCCCTGGGTGGCCTCTCTGTGGCTCATGGGCTGGAGCCTGGCCTGCTCTGCAGGGAGGGAGGGTGTGTCCGTTGACAGCAGGACCGCCAGTGACACCACTGCCTTCTCCGTTCCTCAGAAGACAGAAATTTTGACCACGATTAGAGCTGTAGAATGGATGGCCTGACACCAGGGAACCCACCCCGTGAGGCGCATGCCTTCATCTCTGGTGTGTTTCCGGTCACCCCTTGAGAATACTGGGTGGCAACTGGAGGGGATGTTACAACATGGCCTCTGTTGACCATCAAAGTCAAGCCTGGGACTCTTCTTGGTTGTGTGAGTCTCAGGAAATTATTTAGCCTCTGTCAGCTTCACTTATGTTTCAAGTAGGACTGCCGTATTCTCGAAGGGGTAGGGTCATTGTGGAGATGTCCGGTGGTGAGTGTGAAATGTCCAGCTTAGGAGCCCCGGTGGTAATGTAGACACATCTCCCCCTGGGCACATGAGCAGCACAACTTGGGGCCCCAGGTCCCACCCCACCCACTCAGCCACAATTGACAATGGACAAGGACACATCTGCATGCTGACAGACACATGCGCCAGTTGACTGCAGGGCAGAGCAAGGCCCCAGGGTATGTGTGCTTGGGCAGGCAGCTCGAGCCCCCTCTGCCGGACCCCTGCTCCGTGGCTGAGCCCTGCGGAGCCCTGCCAGGCCTGTGTCACTGGCACTAGCTGGCAGGTTCCCACTTGCTCAGGCTCTCAGCTGTCTCTCGGGTAGATGGCACAGGGTCCTTCACAGCAGAGATGCAATGAAATGGTGGTGGGAAAGGATGTGCTGGCGAGTCACGGGCCTGGGGGTGGGGAGCCTTCTGAAATGCCGTCCCTTTGCAGGCCTGCCGTGACACCATATGGCATCATACCCACCGTACGTGTAGAGGGCTCGCAGGTTCACGGCTTGTGGGTCCTCCGTGCCAATGCAGGGCTGGCACCACAGGGATACGAGGTTGCTGTGTACTAAGTGGGTGCAAGAAGGGCGGCCCTACAGCTCCCCAGGAGGAGTGTCTGGCTGGGCTCACCACCAGCTGCTGCAGGGTCCTGGCTCTGACTCCAGCATGTGCAGGGGGGCCCTTGCCTTCTCTGAGAGGCCTTCTGCACCCTGGCACAGAGCCAGGTTTAAATAGTCCAGCTGTGAACAGTTTTGCTGAGAAGCACCCAGAGGAAAGCAAGGGCTGTGCCGTGGCCTTCCCACTAGCCCAGAGCTTTGTGTGGGCAAGGAAGACAACCTCAGTGCACAGAAGACGCCCTCAGTGTGCAGCCACCTGCTCCAGGATGCTGGCTGGCAGGGAAAGAGAGCAGCCTCCAGGGCCCCAGGAAAGCTTACCTCAGAAACATCTGCCTCTGAGTGGCTCCGAGGAGCTTTTAGAGGGAATTCCTGCCTTGGCTTGCCCGGCGTGCCTCTAGGAAGGCAGGCCTGCCGTGACAGTGTGCTGGCTGCCCTTGGGAGCGATCTGTTTTAACACTCCACATCACTGTCTGGCGGGTGACAGGCTCATGTGGGGATGGGGGGTCATGGAGAGAGGGCATTTGAGTAACTGGAGGCTTCAACTCTGTCCTTTCTCAGTGACCATTTGGCCCCAGGCTGTGGGTTCCCTGCTGCTGGGCCTGCCGTTAGGACATGTGCCATGAGGCAAGCAGGCAGTGCCTGTGCTGTCCCCAGCAGAGAGCAGGTATCTGTTCCCAGGGCCAGTCCTCATTGCCCTCAGGGATTGGGGACAGTGCCTGACCGAGCTGGCTGTCAGCAGGATGGCTGGGTCTCTGCCTGGGGCCATCCTGGTTTGCTAAAGGGGTTGCCAGGTTCCTGGGAAGTTCATCCCAAGGTGAGGCTGGTTCCCACGCTGCCCTTGCAGGGTAGGAGCCGAGGTATTTGTCAGGCCTGCCGAGGGCCGTTGAGGGCTGAGTGTGGATTCAGCCCTGCGATCCATCTTCCAGAGCACCCCAGCTTCCCCTTCCCTTCTTGGGGCTCAGGGTCTTCTGGTGTGAGGCCAGGGGGTATAGCCAGTGGGTGGGACACCATCTGGGCAGGGCAGCATCTTGGCAATCCCTGGGGCCGTGTCCCCCACCTGGCCTGAGCCTGCCCCTGCCCCCGAGAGTCTCCTTTCAGTTTCATTCCAGAGTTGATGTGACCGCGGAGATCTCGTGTTCTGTGATACAGTTGGAGGCGGTCTCCTCTCCAACACGCACGCTGCCTCACGCTAGCAAGTGCAGGGAGTGTGGGGAGGAGGAGCTGGCACAGACGCGCGATCCCCCCCCCCCACACACCTCTCCTTGTGGACTTAGAGGACGCCCACATCTCAATTCTGTCCAACTTTCAAAGCTCTTGTCACCTCCTCTACTTTTAACTTTCAACTTAGCCCCAGGAGCATGTTGCCCTTGAAGCCCCACCGTTTAGAGTCAGAGGATCCTGCTCCACATGTTCGATGCAGGGCCAGGGCCTCTGTCTCTGCAGCCCCAGGCGTCCCAGCTGGTGTAGCCAAGCAGACGCCGTCCTGGGTAGCTGCTCAGTTCATGTCCTTCCCGGGCACTCCTTAAGCTTTCCAGGTGTAGTTCAGCTCCTAGAGCTGTCTGTCCATTAGTGACGCCCTCACGTGCCGGGAATCCACGCAGGGCCCCAGTGACAGTGGCCCCAAGGGCCGGGGAAGGGCCAGGAGGAGCCAGCCTCCACCACCTCTGTGGCCCTCTGTGTTTGAACAGATTCTTAGTTGAGGAAAATGGAGCGCGCACAGGCAGCTTCTGTTTCCCTTCTTGGGGAGAGTGTCCTTCATGCATTTCTTTCTCTGTCACACATTTTTCAAAATTTGGAGTCTGCTTCTAGCTTGGGAGGCTGGATCTGGGTTAGCAGGGAGTGGATGTGGCTCACTTCACGGGGACTCAGTATCAGGAGGGTGTTCTACCCCCATGCATTTGGGGTACACATGCTTCCTTGAGCTCTTCGTACCTGCCTCCGTCCACATACACTCCCCCCACTGAGTGAGCGAACCACCAAGCGAGTGCTCCCCTTGAGAAGGAGCCTCGCGCCTCCACCCTCCCTGCCCCCACCCAGCTCTGCCCTCCGCTCCTGCTTCCCAGTCCCCTTAGACCCATGTACAGGTCCAGAGGCACAGCTAGGCTGTGAGCTCGGCCACAGCGGCCTTCCACACCCATCTCTGCTGCTGTCTGAAGGGGCCAGCGCGTCGTAGGCTCCTGTTCCCAAGTCAGGCCCACCCACCCTGTTTGCTGATACCCCTGAGCTTGACGCGGAGCAGCCGCAGGTGCTCTGTGAGTGAAGGAACGCACCCGTGCCTCAGCAAGTGTTGGCTTTTGAGCAGGGACAGCAGCCTCCGGCACTGGAAGCCAGCGCCAGCCTTTAGAGGAGGGTCCATTTCAGCCAAGCTTTGCAGCCGTGGTCCTAGCTGTGCTTCCTGCGCATGGGTGGGGGGGTTGAGGGGGTTGGGGGGGCCCCGCCCTGGGGGGGCCCCACCCGCTGGTCGGATGGGCCCGCACACTGTGAAGAGCATGGTGGGAAGCCTTCCGGATGCTGGCGTTGCCCCTCAGTGCCCTCCTGCCGGTGACCTTCTGCTCTTTCCTTCTCTGCTTCAGTGGGAGTGGGGGTCAGTGGGGCAGCCCAGCCCTCACCTCTGTCTTCTCCTGTTTTAGGTTTGAGAATGGCAGTGAGTTTACTGCGGAGCTGGAGGAGGGCGACGACCCTGCGGCTTATGTCACCAACCTGTCCTATTATCACCTGGTCCCCTTTGAGACGGACATTTTGGACTGAGTCTGCCCTGGGCCCCATCCCCCAGCCCCTGCCTGCTGCCTCTGCTGCCGTCCACCCTGCCAGCTGCCCTGCTCGGGTCCCACCCAAGGTCCACGCTCGTGAGACCTGGCGTCCCGAGTGGAGCTCGGGGTCCTGGGCTTAGGAATGACCCTCAGGCCTCCGGCAGCCAGGAGTCCCCTCGCAGGAGGCCACCCAGCTGCTGCTCTTGGGGGCCTTCTCTGCCCACTCTCCCCACCAGCCTGTTTCTGCATCCCTGGGACTCGCTCCCCACCCGTGGGGGGCCCGCAAGTGCCTGCAGGATGTACAGTGCCAGGCAGGCGCCCGGACCTTGCTGGGTGTCCCCTGTCACTGTCCCTGCTTCCTGGGAGGATCCTTCCTCTCAGTACAGGGGCCACAGCCTCCTGGCCTCCCTCACGTCCCGCTGCTCCCTCACAGGACAAGCGCACAAAACATTTCGTGTGAGATTTTGATGAGTTGCCAAGTTCTGGATGCCACAGGCAGGGTGAGTTAAGTTCCCAGCATTTCTCTGGGAACCAGGATGTGTGGCTTTCATTGCTGTTTTTCATCTTCTGTCTGGAAACTGTGGGCTTTGTGTCAGCCAAAGAGGGTGTTTATAGAAGGTTAATTGTGAATGGGAAGTGTGGACTCTGGGGACAGGGGAAATCCTTGCCAACAGGTGCCCATTCGAGCTGGGATGGGGAGCTGGCCGTTAAGAGGGACAGAATTCCTGCCCGGCCCGCCAGCCTCCCTCCAGCCCTTGAGCGAGGGGGCCAGTGCTGCAGCCCCAGCCACGCGGCGAGCTTCGCCTCCTGAGCGGAATACCAAGCTCTCCACGGTGTGTTGTTGCCACGTTAACCCCAAAGCATGGGAGTCAAAGGAAAGCCTGAGTCGCTCCCTCAGGGAGGGTCGGGTCCTAGTGCTCATCTGCTCACAGTGTCTACTAACGACCAGCATTTGCTAATGTAAATAAGAGTAAATTATTGGAATCCTAATTCTTTACACAGTCTGTTTTTTAATCTATTTTAATTAAATAAAACGTATTACTCTACCTTATTGACTGAAATGTTCCTGTATGAAGGTGTGATTCTTTTTGTTCCCTGCCCCCTCCGGGCTGGCCCTGAGCACTTGTTTCACTGTTACTTAGGAAACATGTTAGGTTCTCACCCTAGGGAATAATCTTTCCCAATGAAAAGTAGACAAACAGCTGGCCTTTTTTGTTTGTTTGTTTGTTTGTTTACCTAGGCTTTCTGCTCTTCTCCATGTTCTTTTGGCAGCCACAGGAACGCTGAGACCCAGCTGCAGAGCACATGGGACTTATGCAGATTTTGTATTTCCTGTCTGCCTTCCAGCTTCCTGTTTAATGCGTCCTGCTTTCAAATAGGCTGTTAGGTGGCTGATGGGGGTTGACCAGTTGCCTTTCTTCTCCTGAGGGATAAAATTCAGTTCTGTACAAGGATAGAGCTTTTTGCCTAGCAGCTTAGAGTCTGTCACTATGTTCCGTTAATTGCCATCCATTTTGAAAGTTGATTCATGAAAGTTGACTCATTATCCATAGTCCACAGAGGTGCGTCTCTCCAGCTGTCCAGCCATGTGATGGCAGTTTCCTGAGCTCATCTGCTTCCTTGGACTATACTTCCCCCAGCAGGGCCCAAGGTGGACTCCTTTCACTCAGGAAACTTCACTGCTTCTAATCAGTACATAGTGAGGTCTCTAAAGTGGGGGTCAAATGTTTGGCAATTTGTTTTCCTAAAAAAAACACATCAGAGCATTCCCTGGCTTCTCCTTTTTTCCTGGGAAAATATTATCCTCTAGACCCATTCTTCATGTTCCCACATTTGAAAGAACCAGAAATATAGATAAATGTTCCTTTAAGTGCAACAATAAATGGAATAAATGGTTAGTGTCACTCACTAGCATTCAGCCTCACTTTGGGGATTTAATACGGAGCAGTGGGAACTGTGGCAAGCGGCTCACACATGTTGTAAAGGGAGCAGATAGCAGCTGCTCAGCTTAGCCGAGTCGTTACGGGTGGAGTTTGTTCTCCTTGCTTCTTGTCCCCGCCGCAGCAAACCAATGAAAGGCAGAGAACAACGTGAAACAGAGTGAAAGTTTTACTTGAATGCACTCCGAGGAGGAAGTGGGCCAGAGTCAAAGCAGACGAAGATCCTGAACTTTTAGGTGGGAGGCCTTTATATTACACTCTGGCCAGGAAGTGCCTCTGACTGCCAGGGTGGAGTTACTTCATTCACACGTCCAGACGCACAGCCGTCCCTCTCAGCGAGCACGTCCCTTCCCGTGATGAGCGATGACTTGGGCAGTTCTCAGTTCTGTTTGATGGTGCCCCCTCTGGGTTCTGGTTGGGACCTGCAAAGCCTTCAGTGTCGGCACACGGGACCTCCTGCTGGGCAGAGTTTTGGCAGCTTTTCCTTTGAACCTTATCTTCCCCCTTTCTGGCTGCTTATGCATGTCTATCTACCTAACATTCCGAAGAGTTTCACACATAGGATGAAAAACCACATCCTGGTTTTTCAGTAGAAGTGGAAATCTGACTTTTTATATGAACTGTATTAATTTTGTAATGTTGCAAAAAACACCAGTAATAAGAAACTTGACCAAGTAAAAGAATCAGGAATTTCTAGTCTCTAAACTGTCAATTCAGAGAATCAACACCAGAGAAGTTCAGGGTCCCATGTGAAGCTCACAGTCCTGCCCACACACTTCTCCACAGACTAGAGCGAACTGCTCTTCTCATGATTTGCTCTGTGACATGTCCCTCATGCCACCCTGCTAACCAGGAGACCCGTGGCAGTGCTGGCCCGGATGCTCCACTTTGTTACTGATAATTGTAAGGACTTCTATCACACACTCATTTACTGTCCGAAATAGGCTCCTTCAAGTGGTTTGTAAGGGTAACAAAACAAGTTCTGGCAAATCAAATCACTTAAGTCACCTAAGTTTCCCGTTTGAAAGGGACCTTTAGCAACTGCTATTTATAGGCAGAGGAAGCATGCCGTCTTTGTGTTGCAACTAGATGCTGGATTTCTCCTGTCAAGGCCTGTCCTCTGATGATGCCTGTGGAACTGCCATGCTGGACTGTGCTTGTCCGTGTGGCCCACAAGACATGCACATGCTACGTGGTAGCTGAACAGGCTGGGGGCTCATTAGTAAGCACACAGTTCTCATGGCTGTAATGTTCACAAGTAGGATATATGCAGGGGTGCTGGCAGCCAGACTGCCCTGAAGAATGTGTCCCGACCTTCGCCACTTTCTGTTCCTGGGGATGGAATGCATTCTTGGTCTTCATTTAAGAGTTTGGTTAAATTACAACCATTTTTATCTCAAGTGAAATTTCTGCCCTGTGTTGGCTGTGTTGATGTACCTCTTGCACACCAGTATTCTCTAGGCTTACACTGTTTCAAACTGTAGATTTTATTATTATACAGCTATGGTAAAGCCAACTGATCAGCAGAAGATTGACATTCGAGATAGTTTGTCACTCACAGATCCCAAGAGGAGGGGGTCACCACACCATGCAGGGCCACACGGGGCAGCACCAGGACAGGGCAGGAGGAAGACGAGGTGCAGGGAGCTGTGGGCAACAGCCTTTACTGTGGTTTCTACAGGGAGGAGCAGGCAAGGCAGGGTAAACAGGCTCAGGATTGGCCAGGCTGAATGACTTCAGTGGGTTCTGGGGTGCACGGGCGCCCCTAGTGGTCTAAGGTGATTAGGCAGGCGGACAGTGGCTGAATGCAAGGGCCGGTGAAGGAGGAGGTTGCATGCAGTGTGGATGCTGGAGTGACTGGCTTGCGTATGAAGGGCACACTCATAGGCAAGTCATTTGCTTTCTCTAGGTATTGGCTGTTCCTAGGAGGGGCAGTCCCTCCAAAGTCAGCAAGGTCCCAAGAAGTCTAAGCATCAAATGCAGAAACTAGACCATGTAGTTATTGCACATACTAATCCCTGTGAATCCTTGGTCTGTGGAGGGATCTGATTTGATCCCTTGCTGAGGGCATGGAGGAAACCAGAAGTGTGGCATATCTATGCCTCGTGCAAAAAAATTGTCCAACAGAAGAAAGCCTCCATGGAGATGGAGATGTTAGTTTCTCTTCATTTGAATGGGTAAGATATTCCTGTGGTCCAAAAATCAAAGTGACTTACAAGGTTTTCCAAAGAAAGTGTTGCTTCTATTCCTGTTCCCATCCTATCCTTCCCAACATTGATTAATCTCTAGTGCATCCTAATATTTCTTCATGAAAATACTAACAAATACGAGCCTACACTTTTTAGGCACTAGCTAAAAGGTTTCCTCTCAGTCTATGTAATTTAGCATTCATGGTCAATAATAATGTGTCTTGAAGCAACTCGGAAATAGATGATCTGCTCCAACCGGATTGGTTTGGCTTCTGCTTAGAAAGTATGAATGAAATAAGGGCTTGGCTGATGTGCAGCATATCACATTTCAAACATGCTTAATTTTATTAAATTTCTGAGCAAAGTGTTGGAATGTCTGTGTTTTGCTCCTGTCTGTTTTGGGGTGTGGTTGAGGAGAGGGCCAGAGGGAGTTGGAAGTGTTGTGAATTTGCCACAAGCTAGGGGCTGTTCTTGGTCTTACAGACAGTGAACCCTGAGAGAAAACCTTTCTCCTTGGGCATGTTCACATTAAACAGCCTGGAGGCAGATGTTCAAACACTGTAATGTCTGGACATTTATTTATTTACAGCAGAAACAACAGATCCAGAAATCAGAATACTCAGAAGTTGTGGCTGGCCCATCCATGCATTTGCGCCCTGCAGGTGGGAAAAGTTGAAATCATGACCTAAAGTTGGCTCTGTGGATAGGGAAACTGGAAGGGACAGATTTAATTAGATTAAAATCCACTGGAAATATCATTGGTTCTAAGACTTTCAAGTTTTATGGAGGCACTTTGACAAATTAACAGTTTAAACAAGTGACAGTTCTATGTTTTTTCTCATTTCTCTGGACAAGTGAAAACCCGTCATAACAGGCAGGGTTTGAATGAAGAGAAAATAGGGATGACATCACCAATGGAAACCCAAGCACTAACATCTCCAAAGTCAGATGGCCTTGCCTCTAGGCAGCTGCGACTGAAGTAAGTATACTGATGGTCGTGGGACAGCATCCCTGCTCAGCAGGAAATGCTTCTCCAGGAGGAGTGTGTTGGTGGGGCGATGGGCACATGTTCCTATCCTCTAACCATGTCCTTTTGGCTAGAACAATGATGACTTGTTGCACTCAGTGTTGGCGGGACTGGGCAGCATGTCCCCACTGGCTGGTGCCTGATGGGCACTGAATGAGTCTGTCTGCCTCTGCAGTGCTACTGTGGCTGACCGCCCCTCTCCCAGACACAATCTTTCCTTGGTTTAATACTCAGCCAGGTCTTACAGTCAAGTCTTGGGAACTTTCTCCCATTCAAAGAGAATTTGTAGATCTCCTTTCTAATCAATTAAGTGTTAATTAAGTGTTAATTAAGTGTTAATCAATTAAGTATAACTCAGAATGACAATCTTTTGTTTCTGTTTTGTGACCAGATATGTTTATACACAGTACAAAATTTAAAACAATACTAAGTGGTGCTTCTTGAAAATTAAGCTCCTGCCCACCCTTGTCCCCAGGTCTCCAGCTCAGAGACAACCATTATAACCAGTTTCTTGGGTGAACTCTAGAAGCAAATATATGAATATAGCATTTTTAAGTGTACACACCTGAATTTTTCACTTAATGATTTAGTTTGGAGATTATACATAGAGCTATCTCAAGCTTCCTACCACATTTATTTAGCTAAGCAACTTTTTCCTTTCTCTTCTATCTCTCCATAAAACCTTCTCTGTTTCTGTTTATCTCTTAGTTTAATTTTGTAAATAGCAAACCATTCACACATTTCAAAATGTAATTGGTCCACTCATCCACTCACTCTTCATTCAAGGTATACATAATATGTGCCCACTATGTGTCACTGCTCTAGACACTAGGGGTGTGGCAGTGGACAACGAAGCTTGGCTCTACCAGCGGGGGCCAGCAGCAGACAAGGGCATTGCGTAAAAT